CCAGCAACCTGTCAGCTTCAATCAGCTCCATTCATTCCACCTGCTCCTGTAATCAGCCTCATCCCATTCACCTGCTTCCCCTGCTATAAAAGAACCAGCCATCCAGTCAACAGAGGCCAGATTATTACAGCCTTGCCAGTAGTTCTCCAGCCATCCACCCTGCCTGATCTCTGCCTCTGGACCTTGTTTTTTGCCTGACCCCTGCCTTGCTCTCTGCCTGCCACTTTGACCTTAGCCTGCCTCTGAACCTGCCTCAGCCTTGCCCTCCAGGTACCTCTGCATTAAATAAAGACTTTTTAATATATTTTTACTGTGTTGGCGTCTTCACGGGTCTTCTGAACTCGGTTCATGACAAAAACTGATTGTTTGTTGTAAAGTTTTGTTCAGTACCAAGTTTAATGACAGCAGTCCAATGAGACCGAGCCTGGATTTGTATTCTGAGCCGTTTAACCCTCCCACTGTCCTAATGGGGGTGACCCCGAGAGGAAAGCTGACCATTGAGCAGGATGGACGGTTTATCCTTTGGGTCCTCAAGGCAGGGGTGATGAGGTGCTCTGTCACTGCGCCCTGGCTTCTTGACCAAAGGGTCATCTACGTTTGGCTGACTGGTCAGCGTGCATGACTCTCACCTGGGATCAAATCCTGATTGGACCATTTTTTTATATCCACCACAGATATCTCTGAAGAACTCACAGCATGGACACTTCAGCAACGCTGTGCCACTCCGTGGATTTTCTCGTCTTTGTTTTACAAACCGTCACAGACTCATGACATTCTGTCTCTCTTTATTCAGAGTGAGGATGCAGCAGCCAGGCTCCTGCATCAGACCTGGGTGAGAATGTTTTGTCTTCTTATACGGAAACAAGAACTTAGCTGAACTTTCTGGATTTGGAGGCCAGACTAGACAGATTGTGGGCTTATGTCTGCAAATGAAAGGTTGTCTTGTGGTCAGTTACATGGTGACAAACTGACCCTTTGGTGGGTTACACAGCTGCTGATCTAGATCCATAACCAGCTGCTGGGCCCGTGGGGATGTCAGTGGGGGCTGGTCCAAACCGTTCTTGGTGAGGATGATGAGGCAAAAGACGTGTCCTCCGTGTCCATCTGAAGTAATCAAAGAAACTGCTGGAAAGGTTTCACATCAGCCTCTCATTTCCACTCTAAGTCAGCAGCTTACAGAGGTTCACAGCTGAAACAGTCCCAGAGATGAGCTCACAGCAAGGCTGTGAGCTCATGCAAGGTTAGCATGAAACCAACACACAAGCGTACAGCGTGCACCTTTCAATCAAACGTTCCCAAGCAGCTGCAGTGCGTAGCGCACATATCCAGCGTGAGTGTCCAGTCTCCAACCGCCTGTGGGCCTCAGCTACTTCATGTGTGTGTGCTACACTTCATCTTCTGGCCTTCTCACAGAGCTCGTCGTTTTCAGGACAGCGTTCTGGAATTTGTATGATTTACACATTTATTATTGTGCTCTGTGGCAAATTGCTGTGTGCTCTTCATAAACATCCCCCCCCCCCCCCCCCCCCCCCCACACACACACACACACACACACAGCATTGCTGGTGTGATCCCTGTTGCCACGAGCTCTCCTGCCCTCACAGGACGGTGTAAACAAACAGCTGACTCTCTTCTTGTCAGCATCAGGAGAAGAGAAGGAATGTGGTTCGACTCTAAAACGGTTCCAGCTGAGACAGTCGGGCTGGCTGTGGTCGGTGTGGTGGCCTCTGGGGAGCCAAACTTTATCACAGCAAACTCAGATGATCCATGTGTTGCATCACTGACCTTCAGCCAGAGAGGAGAAAACTCATCATCCACATCACATCATAGCTGCTAGCTTAGCAGCAGCAGCTCTAGCGCCACGCTAGTGGCTGACGTGACAGAAATATATCAGACAATAAAACATGTTTGACCACATCAGGATTCAATTTATTGTCACAAAAATCTTTCAAACTAAAGCAGATTAAGGAACGTTGAATCTGAATCGGTTACAGCAGTGTTTCCTCTTGCTGGCCTCCTTGGACTGTGAGATCTGTGTGAGAGTTTTAGCTCAACTACAGAAGGCAGATACGCCCGTCTGATCAAAGTCCCAAAGACAAATGTTTTCTCTTTTCACTGGAGCCTATGTCACAGGGGTCAAACTCAGGCCCTCGGGCCAACTCTAGCCCGCACTCTTCTTATATTTGGCCCACGAGGTCAAATTTAAAGCGTGTAATAATCTCACCGGTTCATCTGCTGAGAAAGACTACAAATCCCACAGCGCTACGCCTCGTGTATGCGTCAGTTAAAGCAGCCATCCTGTTTCCAGTCGTTAGCGTCCGTGGTACCAGAGTCGGTGTCTGCAGCACTACACACCTCAGTCTGGGACAACTGAAGACAAACCCTAACCCTACAGTAACAGGAAGTGGAAAGGCTACCGAACCCTAACCCTACAGTAACAGGAAGTGGAAAGGCTACAGAACCCTAACCCTACAGTAACAGGAAGTGGAAAGGCTACCGAACCCTAACCCTACAGTAACAGGAAGTAGAAAGGCTACAGAACCCTAACCCTACAGTAACAGGAAGTGGAAAGGCTACAGAACCCTAACCTTACAGTAACAGGAAGTGGAAAGGCTACAGAACCCTAACCCTACAGTAACAGGAAGTGGAAAGGCTACAGAACCCTAACCCTACAGTAACAGGAAGTGGAAAGGCTGCAGAACCCTAACCCTACAGTAACAGGAAGTGGAAAGGCCACAGAACCCTGACCCTACAGTAACAGGAAGTGGAAAGGCTACAGAACCCTAACCCTACAGTAACAGGAAGTGGAAAGGCTACAGAACCCTAACCCTACAGTAACAGGAAGTGGAAAGGCTACAGAACAGGCCTTTATTGTCCCTCAGAGGGGAAAGCTTGGTGTCAGCAGCAATGACTTGATTACATGAGCAGAAAAGGGGAGTAAAAATAAGAATAAAGAGAAAACAAACGTTGAGATAAAAAGACTAATAATAGACACGTAATAAGTAAGGAATACTACTGCTGCTAGTGTGTCATGTGCTTATTCCAGACTCAGTGTTAAACTATGTTTGTTTCCATCAAGGCTCAACAACACACACATCTGCCGTCACCTTTTCAAGAGATATTGGGTTTGGGTCCTGGTTGTCGTTTTACCCCAGCGTGAGTCTGAGCTGGACCCCGCCGGCCTACACCCGCTGGAAATCTAAGGCTAAAGTGATTTAGCACCTTTCCAGGATCACTGGTTGTGTCCCTGCCTTAAATCAGGTTTCATCTTGTTTCTTTATTGACTTGTTTTACTGTTACGCTGTGGCCAAATGAACAACTTCCTGTCTGTCTGACATCCCTGAGGAAGGACACCAACCAAGTGTAAGTAAATGTTATTTCTATAGTACTCGAAATAAAAAAAAACAAAGTCATTAAATTGTAAAGATCTCAAAACAGAATCAGATTAACATCAGAAAAAATAAAGTAATAAATTATAACATAAACAGATGAAAGATAAAAATTTGAGTTAAAAATAAGAAAATAAAAGGTTTAGTTAAAAGCAGCTTTAAATAAAAGGGACTTCAGCTGTTGTTTGAAAAGGTCCAGACTGTGAACGCTGCATAAGGATAAAGGAAGATCATTCCAGAGTCGGGGTGCAACAGTCTGGAAGGAGCGATCACCTCCACTTTTATATCTGGTCTTTGAAACTTCTAGAAGGTTCTGGTGGGTGGACCTGAGGGCTGGGTTAGAGCATAAGGCTTTAACAGGTCAGTAATATAGGGAGGAGCTTGACCATGTAGAGCCCTGAAAGTTCTAGTCAGGATTCTAACATTAACTCTAAAGTTAATGGGTAACCAGTGCAGAGACGTCAGAATAGGAGTGATGTGTGCTCTTCTGTTTGCTCCAGTTAGGAGCCTCGCTGCAGAGTTCTGGACCAACTGAAGGTGGTCAAGGGCTTTTTGTTAAAACATGTGAAGAGTGTGTTACAGTAATCCAGACGGGAGGAGATGAAGGCATGGAGAACCATTTCTAGTTCATGTTTTGACACCAAACTTCACAGTTTAGAGATATTTCTTAAATGATAAAAACAGTTTCGGACCTATGTTTCTGAGTGACCTTCAAGAGACATTGATTGGTCAAAAATAACACCAAAATTCCTCAAGTTTGTCTTGACGGTAGAGGATAAATGAGCAAGTTTTAGACTAATCAGGGGAACCATGTTCTCAGGGGCAATGATCAGACATTCAGTCTTTTCAGAGTTTAACTGAAGAAAGTTATCTTCTAGCCAGCTGGTGATAGCTGATAGACACTCTAGTAATTCAGACAGTTTATAGAACTCAGAATCCTTAAAGAAGCAGTACAGCTGAATATCATCTGCATATCGGTGATAAGAGACATTATGAAAAGAATCAGTTATCTGTCCAAGAGGGTGTATGTACAGCAGAAACAACAGTGGGCCCAAAACAGAGCCTTGGGGTACCCCACAGAACAGATCAGTAGAATCTGACATGATTTGTTTTATACAGACACGTAACTTCTGTTAGAAAGGTACAATCTAAACCAGTCTAGAACAGTTCCAGAGATCCCCACCGAGTCTGTTAATAAAGGTGTTGTGATCAACAGTGTCAAAAGCTGCATGAAGATCTAACAACACTAACACTGTGAGTTCCCCGTTGTCTGCAGCCATCATGATGTCACTGGAAACTTTAAGCAAAGCTGTTTCTGCTGAATGCTTTTTACCAAAACCAGACTGGAATTTATATAAACTGTTGTGTAGTTCCAGAAAAGTAATCAGCTGATCTGCCACAACCTTTTCTAGTATTTTAGAGATAAAGGGTCATTTAGACATGGGTCTGTAGTTTTTAGGCTGAGGTGAGCTCTGACTATAGGGTCTTCAGCTCCTTCACCGGGACTTCCTGTTTCCGGGTTTCCTGTCAAGTTCATCAGTACTTTATGTGTGTGTGATCCCCTGAGTTTGTTTTCCAGTGCGTGTGAGCGCGCGTGTGTAAGTGGTGCGTGTGCGGTGAGTGCGCGCGCGCGCGCGTGTCGCCAGAGGGACACCCCGGAACAGGAGGAGACCAGTTCCAGCTCCAGAACCTCCTCCTCCTGGACAACACCAGCCCGGACTGGTTCAGAACTTTTCCTTGTTTTCCGGTTCGGAGGAGATTCGGCCTGGATGCTTGAGCGGCTGTTGGCTGAAGTTTCCGTCCCGTTAGCGCAGGTCCGGCCCGGACATGCTCTGAGAGCGGTACCGCCGAACTGCCTGGACCGTGCTTCATCTGGACTTAATGTTCTGAGAACTGGATCAGAACCCGGATCGAGCCCAGTTTGCTGTAAAAGTCTTTACAATGAGGGGGGTTGTTTGTTTGGGGTTGGTTCTGGTCCATCTGCTCAGCTGGACCGGAGCCGACAAACAGAACCGCGTGAAGCTGCGGGAGACCTACAAAGAGCGCGCGGGGCGCCTCCGAGCGGGGTTCGGTTCGGCCAGCAGCTACAAAGTGGGAGTGCAGGCTGAGGAGGGGGTTTCGGGTCGGCCCGGGTCCAGGAGACTAGGGGATGAAGGTGCGTCACCATGGAGAGGGGGGTCCGGGCGGCTGCAGGATGAGGGCACCCCAGGGTCCAGGGCCAAGATCTCCAGCAGCACCGGGTCACCCAATCTGTTGGCCAGCTTCGCAGGGAAGAACCGGGTCCTGGTGATCTCTGCGCCTCACGAATCCGACGGCTACTTCCGGATGATGATGTCACTCCTGAAGCCAGACGTCTACTGCGAGCTGGCAGAGAGACACGTCCACCAGATCATCATGTTCCACCAGGAGGGGGAGCTGGGGGGCAAGGTGAGACGGGTCAGCACGGACGGGAGGGTTCTGGAGGAGCCGCTGGACACCACGCTCATCCCCAGGCTCATGAGCTTCCTCAAGCTGGACAAAGGTAAGGGGCGGGGCCTGATTAGCATGACCTTTCACCTTAGACCAGCCTAACAGTCTTGACTGGCAGGTAAATTTGGGATGGCGCTGCTGAAGAAGACCCTGCAGGTGGAGGAGAAGTACCCCTACCCCGTCAGGCTGGAGGCCATGTATGAGGTCATAGATCAGTCCCCCATCAGGAAGCTGGAGAAGGTCCGCCAGAAGGGATTTGTCCAGAAGTGTAAAGCAGCAGGTGTAGAGGGGCAGGTGGAGGAGGGCACTCTTCCAGGTGAGTTTGCCATCAGCACCAGGAGATGGTTTCCCTGATGAAGCCATTCTCACACACACACACACACACACACACACACACACACACACACACACACACACACACACACACACACACACACACACACACACACACACACCAGGACAGGGTTTGCTCGCCTGTTACAACACAGAAGTTGGTCTTAGTTCCTATAATGTGAGATATTTAGATACTCGAGTACACATCCACACTGATTCTTAACTTGGCTTGATTGTTTTTTCCTCAGTGCTCCAGGTTGATGCTTTTAAATCTAAATGTCCAAAGTTACCAACACTTTCATGTACAAATGTATTTTATTTGAACCGTTCTAGTTATCGGGGTAAAATCCTAGAAAGAAGAGCATAAACATGTTCAGAATGTTCTAGAAATGAGCTTGTTATCTAAAGAACGTTTTTGTTTGTGTCGAAAAGCTCCTGACCCACCTCCAGAGAGAAAACCATTGAAGAAGACCTCGAGAAAGCCCACACAGACCATAACAACTTCCACAACCACCACAACAACAACCAGAGCAACTACAACCGCCAAACCCACAACTACGTCTACCAGGAGACTCACTACCACCACCCAAACAGTGACCCAAGCCCAGACCACAGCAATGTGGCTCCCTGCGCCCAGAACCACCGCTGATCCTTATTACACCTTACACCCTAACAACCACAGGGAGAGGTTCCCGCCTAAAACCACCCCAGCTGGAAACAACCGCACGGACAAGGACAACAGATATCCTCCGAGCCGCAAACTGGTGCCTTTCACCCACAAGCCTCCCAAAATCAAGCCCACCAACAAGAAGAACAGAGGAGAAAAGGTGATTTTACAAACTATCTATTTATAGCCACTTTTACAAAACAATGCCGTAAATTTGCCGCAATGTCGTGGCGGCATCAGGGAGCCTTAGGTCGTGTATAAGTGGCGGTAATGTGGCATAATCGTGTCCTTTTTATAAAAGATTAGGTGATGGTGGCATAAGGGGGGTATGGGGTGGTCTCTGCGCTGCTACAGACTTGTGTTTATCTTGGACGTAACGTGCTTTTTATCATGATTGAAGCTGCGATCTAAGTGTTTTGTAACAAGCCTTGTCAGCTGATTTTGTTCAAAAAGCAAAACATTGCTTTACTTTTATTTTCAACGTAAGTGCCGGCCGGAGCTCGGCATTAACTCCCCACGTCATCATGACACCTTCCTCTGTTGCGCCGGTTATAGCCCAGACAGTTACCGCTACCAAGCAAGGCGGAAAGACTGCCTCAAAATTCACGCAACGCCATAGTGAGTTTATAAGGCACCGTTGCAGAAGTATTACGCAGATTAGCCGGCATGGTGTGTCTTGTAAAAATGCTGCATCTGTCTGATATAATCTGACGATACTGGCCTTCAAATGTAATATCGGAAAATATAAATATTTAACTCCTATAGTGACCCGATCTTTACATACCACGCACAGCAAACTCTTTGGCTTCATCTCCTCGCTCTCAAATCGACAAGATATGACAGATTTGAGGTTTAGTTTCTGAGATATTGTAGTTTTATTTGGCACAACTTGTGAATAATTTGTAATTATGTAATCCTGCTATTCCTGTAAGTGACAGTCATTTGGCCCTCAAACGTAAGCCTTATATGAGGAACCTCCTTTCACGAACAATTGAATTTCTTTAAGCAGGTCAATGCAGTAGTCAAGAATAGCTTTTATCAACTTAGAGCCATCTCGAAACTGAAGCAATTTCTTAACTGCTCATGCTTGGAGAATGTTATTCATCCTCTTGTTACTTCACGCCTTGACTATTGCATTGCCCTATTTGTCGGCCTGCCCAAGTCCACCATAGCTCGTCTTCGTTTAGTTCAAAACTCTGCAGCCTGTCTCACCACAAACACATCAAGGTGGAACCGTATTACTCCCATTCTCTCAGAGCTGCACTGGCTCTCTATCTTTCAGAATACAATTCAAAATCATTCTATTTACATTCAAAAGGTCTAGATACAAACATCAGGGCAAACGCGCATTCTCAATGGTGGCCCCTTTACTCTGAAAAAATCTTCTCAATGATCTGCCTGACGACTGACACAAGTCAAAGCTTAAAACACCCTTTTCAGCAGGCATTTATTTTTAGGTAACCATCTGCTCTTTTACTCTTCCCTTTTAGCTTTTATGATTTGTGCATTTTTAGTTCTATCTTTTATTGTAATTGTCCAAAAACATTACCCCACAAACAGTAAAGGAAAATTTAGTAAAGACGCAACTTGAGTACTGAGTAAAATCAGACCTAACAATTTTCAAATGATGTCCTCTTTCAGGCAAAAGCCTATAAAGTTGTGGACAAATTATGATATTTTAAAGACTAAAAAGAAAGTAATTGTTCAAATAAATGACATAATCTATTTCAACCTGAAGAAAGGCTTTTCTAAGTAAATTACTACCCACCTCCGCTTTCAACTGCCCTCCATATTTGGCAGATGTTTGGGTAATGGCAACTTCATATAGCACAGGGGTGACACCAAAGCTTAGAACTAGAATAAACCAAATACTAAATAAAGAAATAAAAACAGCATACAAATTGCACTAATAAAAGAAAATACAAGCAGTCTAATGGCCACGGGTAAAGGCCAGACCAAATGAAAAAAGTCTTTAGCCTGACCTTAACAACTGTCACCAATGGTGAAGCACGCAGTTTAATAAGTAACTCATTCCCGAGTTTCGGACCTGCCATGGAAAACGCCCTGTCTCCTCTTGTCTTTACACGAGTCCTAGGAACAGTGAGTAGGAGACTATTGTCTGAGCGGAGTGCCCGTGCTGGTGTATATAGATGCATCAGCGTCTGTAGATATGCAGGAGCCAGTCCATTTAACGATTTAAAAACCAATAAAAGGACTTTAAAACGAGTCTGAAAATCCACAGGCAGCCAGTACAAGGATTCCAAGACTGGGGAGACATGGTCAAATTTCCTTTTCCCCACCAAACATTTTGCAGCTGCATTTGGCACTAGTTGCAGCCTTGCCAGAGTTGCCCTGGTGACTCCAAATAGGAGGGAATTACAGTGGTCAATCCGTGTTGATGTAAAAGCATGAACTACCATTTCCAGGTGTTGCCTTGTCAGGAATGGTTTTATGTTAGCTAAACGGCGCAGATAATAAAAAGATGTGGACACGATTCCATTTACATGGGCATCAAAACCCAAGACATTGTCAAGTTTAACGCCAAGGTTTGTGATAGCTGTCTTTCCCTTTGAAGTAAATGACCCACAGTCAAGTGAGGTGGTATCAATGCCATTAGGTCCAACTAGGATTGTCTCTGTCTTGTCCTCGTTGAGGCAGAAATTATTTGCCAACTACCACCTCTTCACTTCAGACAAGCAGTCTACTGTATTTAGTTGTCCACCGATTTGCCATGTTCACCACCGAGGGGGAAATAAAGTTGGCAGTCATTAGCAAAAAAATGAAAACTAATGTCAAAACGACGGAAAAATATCCCCCAATAGGAGAATATAGATCAAAAACCGAAGTATCCCAGCACAGAACCCTGGGGAACACCCCAGGAGAGTTTTTGAATTGAATTGAATTGAATTCAAACAAGGTGCTGGGGTTGTGTTGTTTCAGATACAATCTAACCTGCTTTAATGCACAATGAATTAGTCTAATAATAATTGTTAATACATTTAGGATGATCCCTAATCATTTCTGGCTATTATGTTTTTCAGTTCTTTTGAGCTGAGTCACTGTGGTAGAAAATTGTTTGCATTTTGCTAAAGAAAAAATCACAATCATGATATTTTAAAATTAGTCAGATTATTGCAATAAAAATATGTGAATGTCAGAGTTTACTACAAAACCCTGTTGAATAGATGCAAATCTGCAGCAAAATACTATTGACTCAATATTCAGAACCTCCTTTTGAAGAAATAACAACCTCTAAATGCTTGCTGTGGCTTCCAGTGAGAGTCTGGGATCTGGTTGAAGGTATTTTGGACCGTTCTTCTTTACAAAACATCTCTAGTTCATTCAGGTTTGATGACTTCTGACAGCAGCACGGACAGCTCTTTTACTCACACCACAGATTTTCAATTATATTCAGTTCAGGGGACTGAGATGACTGTTCCAGAACAACGTGTTCCTCTGCATGAATGCCTGAACACACATTTCCAAACTTTCTGGCCATCTCCTGTGATTCAGTTTCAACACATTTCCCTCAGCAGTACTAGCTGATTGTCCCATTTAGTAATAAAACACGACTGTGAACATCTCTCTCTCTCTCTCTCTCTCTCTCTCTCTCTCATCTCTCTCTCTCTCTCTCTCTCTCTCTCTCTCTCTCTCTCTCTCTCTCTCTCTCTCTCTCTCTCTCTCTCTCTCTCTCTCTCTCTCTCTCTCTCTCTCTCTCTCTCTCTCTCTCTCTCTCTCTCTCTCTCTCTCTCTCTCTCTCTCGTCTCTTCTCTCTCGTCCTCTCTCTCTCTCTCTCTCTCTCTCTCTCTCTCCTCTCTCTCTCTCTCTCTCTCTCTCCTCTCTCTCTCTCTCTCTCTCTCTCTCTCTCTCTCTCTCTCTCTCTCTCTCTCTCTCTCTCTCTCTCTCTCTCTCTCTCTCTCTCTCTCTCTCTCTCCGTGCTGCACTCAGCCGTCAGACCCACAGATCAGCTGATCCAGCTGTAGGGAAAAGGACAAACGTACAACTTAATTTTAATATTGTCACCCAAAAACGCAGCAAAGCATCATGTTACCTGCAGTTATTCACTAGTGAAGCAAAACTTAATTTAACGTGAGTGAAAAAAAAAACCCCATAAAAACGATTCAAAGAATCAGGAAAGCAGGAAGAAATGTTACTTCTGTTTTTACATAATTTTTTTACTTAAGTTCACACTATTCAGAATTTTGTGTTTTCATCGCATTTAGCTTGTATTTCATTTAAAGTATCTTCAGCTTTATTCATTTTATGAGATTTTGAATTGCATTGTTGAGAAAAATGATCATAATTCAACATTTAGGTTTTGTAAAAATGCCATTTAAAGAACATCCAATGATCCCTAAATGGCATTCGACAGTTTTTGAAAGTATTTGTTCATTCCTGACAGACAGCTGAACACTATGAAAAACTGACATTGCTGCTTAGGCTCCAGCCAGGGCACAGGGTCAGGACAGGTCAGCTGTAAAGATATGCTACTGATCCATTCTAAAATAAAGGTCAACTTATTCACACCAAGTAAGTTTTTACCGGAAAGCATCGGATTAGCTAAAAAACAAAATATGTTTCATTTAGTTTGAATTTTAAAACAGGAATGTCAACCATTTTCATTTTATTTTTATTTTTTATTATTGATGTATTGAAAGACAGAGAAATCAACTTGTGAAGACAATGTAATAAATGGTATGGCAGTAGCTCTTCTGTACCTTTGTTGTGTAAAAGCAACTCACGTCTCCAAAAGGTCGGAGACCTCTGGCCTAGACACTCGTCAGCTACAGGTCTGAACGAGCCTCTGATTCTGATGCTGCATGGGTATAACATGATCATCTAACATTATTTCCCTCTGTGTGTAGATGTTTGTGGAAACGTATGAGCCCAGTGTTCCAACTGAGAAGGACTTAGAGAAGATGGAGACCGTCACCAATATCAGGCCTACCAAGAGGGTTAAGAGTAAGCATGAGAAGAAAAAGAGTGAAGACCCTTTAAAGAAAGGCGACAGAAAAGGAAAACCTAGTAAGGAGGGAAAAAACAGAGGAAAGAAAAATGGGAAAAAGCTTCCTAAATACCCAGAGAATCAGGACTACCCAAAACCCACCAAGAGGCCAGCTGTCCTGCCAAAGAACTCCCTGCCAGATTTCCTGGACTACTTTGAGAACAAGAGGCGACTGTTGGTAAGATCATGACACAACAAGAGAAAATGTCTATTCTGACTCCAAAGAACTGAGCATGGTTGAGATTTTAGGAAATACTTTGAGTTTCTATTCTGTTCGCCAATGACCAACTGTAGCTGATCAGGAAACAGCAGCAATCTCAGCAGGGTGAGCCCTGGTCAGACTATCCTGTTCTGGTTTATTATCAGTACACACACACATATACACACGCAGGCTCACACATTCACATAATAGATATCCTTAAAGGTGTCACCACCGATCACTACCGCGCATATCTACATCCTGGTCTTTAAGGCCGTTAAAATAAATAGTATTGGAAAAATAAAAAGGTGCTTTTCTGACCCTTTTTTGGAAAAGACATATCTTCTTGCAAAATCACACGTATTATTTCAGATGTGCCGGACAGTCGTTATAATAATGCAAATGAGGGCCGTGTTGATTGGTGGAAGGAAGTAAGGGTGTTGACACCGTAGGCTTTGCTCTAAAATAACTATAAGGCTCAAGTTATGGCTGAACCAAACCTGGCTGTGACCTACGTGATCTAACCGTATATACAGGTGCTGGCCAGTAAATTAGAATATCATCAAAAGGTTGAAAATATTTCAGTAATTCCATTCAAAACGTGAAACTTGTACATTATATTCATGCAATGCACACAGACCAATGTATTTCCGATGTTTATTACGTTTAATTTTGATATTTATAGGTGACAACCAATGAAAACATCAAATCTGGTATCTCAGAAAATTAGAATATTCTAAAGGCCAATGAAAAAATGTTTGTTTCTCTAATGTTGGCCAACTGAAAAGAATGAACATGAAAAGAATGTGCATGTATAGCACTCAATACTTAGTCGGGGCTCCTTTTGCCTCAATAACTGCAGTAATGCGGCGTGGCATGGACTCGATCAGTCTGTGGCACTGCTCAGGTATTATGAGAGCCCAGGTTGCTCTGATAGTCGTCTTCAGCTCCTCTGCATTGTTGGGTCTAGCGTATTGCATCCTCCGCTTCACAATACCCCACAGATTTTCTATGGGGTTAAGGTCAGGCGAGTTTGCTGGCCAATCAAGGACAGGGATACCATGGTCCTTGAACCAGGTGCTGGTGGTTTTGGCACTGTGTGCAGGTGCCAAGTCCTGTTGAAAGGTGAAGTCTGCATCCCCATAAAGTTGGTCAGCAGCAGGAAGCATGAAGTGCTCTAAAACTTCCTGGTAGACGGCTGCATTGACCCTGGACCTCAGGAAACAGAGTGGGCCAACACCGGCAGATGACATGGCACCCCACACCATCACTGACGGTGGAAACTTTACACTGGACCTCATGCAACGTGGATTCTGTGCTTCTCCGCTCTTCCTCCAGACTCTGGGTCCTTGATTTCCAAAGGAAATGCAGAACTTGCTTTCATCAGAAAACATAACTTTGGACCACTCAGCATCAGTCCAGTCCTTTTTGTCCTTGGCCCAGGCGAGACGCTTCTTGCGCTGTTTCTTGTTCAAGAGTGGCTTGACACACGGAATGCGACACCTGAATCCCATGTCTTTCATGAGTCTCCTCGTGGTGGTTCTTGAAGCGCTGACTCCAGCTGCAGTCCACTCTTTGTGGATCTCCCCCACATTTTTGAATGGGTTTGTCGTCACAATTCTCTGCAGGGTGCGGTTATCCCTAGAGCTTGTACACTTTTTTCTACCACATTTTTTCCGTCCCTTCGCCTGTCTGTTAATGTGCTTGGACACAGAGCTCTGCGAACAGCCAGCTTCTTTAGCAATCACCTTTTGTGTCTTGCCCTCCTTGTGCAAGGTGTCAATGATTGTCTTTTGGACAGCTGTTAAGTCAGAAGTCTTCCCCATGATTGTGGTGCCTTCAAAACAAGACTGAGGGACCTTTTAAAGGCCTTTGCAGGTGTTTTGAGTAAATCAGCTGATTAGAGTGGCAGCAGGTGTCTTCTATATTCAGCCTTTTCAGAATATTCTAATTTTTTGAGATACCAAATTTGGAGTTTTCATTAGTTGTCACTTATGAATATCAAATTTAAATGTAATGAACATTGGAAATACATTGGTCTGTGTGCATTGCATGAATATAATGTACAAGTTTCACGTTTTGAATGGAATTACTGAAATATTTTCAACCTTTTGATGATATTCTAATTTACTGGCCAGCACCTGTATAGAAGCCCGACTCCGAACCTGAGCTGGAAAGCGAAGATGTAGAGCACACATGTCAGACACAAGGCTCGTGGGCCAGGTGTGGCCCACCACATCATTTTATATGGCCCACGAGAGATTCAAGTGTCTTAAAATAGGTCTATGCCGCTTCAAAGCGCACATTGGCTATAAACTACATTTCATGATGATTGTGTTCCCACTGCAGTGACGCCACTAGGTCGCAGTGTATCCACTTCAGTGTTTAATTAATGCAACAAGTGAAAATAACTATCCACACATCATCCCAAAATGTCCAGGAAGAGAGAGATTGATGCAGAAGGAAGGTGTTTCAACAAAGATGGAAGATGTTGATGCTTCTAGGAGAAAAACCGGTATGTCTTTACTATCATTAGCGTCCATGCTGCTAGCATCAGCGTCTGCAGCGTTACCTCCTCTGCCTCGGACAAACTGAAAACACTCTTCTTACTCAGCGCCAAGTTACTCAGCAATTAGCCGACTTTGAAGCCCAGAAATGGAATTTAACAGCTCAGTAATGTTTGCTGCTGACATAGAAAGCACACCGACCAACTTCCAGACCGAGATGATTTAACTCCAGTTTAGCGACACGCTCAAGTCACTATGACTCTGTGGCTGCTGCAGCTTTTATCCCCCTCCCGACACAACTGCGTGGTCCAGATGCTCTCCATGTCCAGCAGCACAAACCTGTGTGAGCAACTGTTTCTCACTGATGAACTCCTTCCTCAGCTCAGAGCCCGACCCCACAGGTGCAGGTCTGGCTGGAGCAGGTGAGCATCAGAGGAAACCAGAGTGGAGAAAACTGGGATTGAATTGTTTTGGCTTTGACCCATGCGTCGAGGTGAGTCGGACTAGATCTAGTCACAACCTCTCAACCTCACACACCAACTAACCCCCAAATTCCACTACCTCCGCTCCGGTCCGCCCCCGCCTTCCGCAGCCGCTCGCTTCCAAACTCAATTTTTCTTGGTACCCGCTCTACAACGGCTCCGCTCCGGTGCGGAGACCTGAGGTGGGAAAACAGGCATGCGCGGGATTTTCGAGATCTTGCGATACAGTCCGAGCAATAAACGCGGAAGTTAGATCCAAACACCCGTTGTGTGGGAGAAGCATCGGCATGAACTGTTTAATCTGCCCATCATTTGTGTTGACAGATCAGCAGTGTTTGGATCAACAAAGTGTGACTACTTTGATAGTGGAAACTGTATTTATGGCTTATTTTTGTGCATTTAAACTTCAGCCGCCACTGTTGTTAAACCTGTGCATTTGAAACAAAAAACGCCTTTTGTTTATCAATTTATTGTGAAAAACAGAAGTTGTGCTTGCTCCTTTTCCTGTTGGGCGGTTGTGATTTCTGTCCATTTACTGCGGAGGTGCTCCGGCGTCCGGCAAAAATAGGATCAATTCTATTTTTGCCGGAACAGAGGGCGGCGCGCTGCGCTGCACTACCGGAGCACGGCCGCAGTAGTGGAATTGCTCTGACTGACTACAACGGGACCGATTTTGCTCCGGCTTTCGTGTCGGAGCGGAGCGGAGGTAGTGGAATTTGGGGGTTAGGCTCCTTCCCCACCAGGGAGGTGACATTCTACGTATCAAGAGCCAGCTTCTGTAGCTGAGGATCAGGCCACCAAGGTCCGCACCTTTGACTACCACCCGTCACACACTGCACCTGACCCCTTTGGCCCCTTCCACAAATGGTGAGCCCATGGGAAGGGTGACCCACATTTCATCCTTGGGCTGTGCCCGGCCGGGCTCCATGGGTGAAAGCCCAGCCACCAGGTGCTAGCCGACGTGCCCCACCTCCAGGCCTGGCTCAAGAGGGGGGACCTGGTGACCCGCGTCCAGGCAAGGGAACACTGTGTCCATTTATATAATTCATCATAAGAGGTCTTCGGGCTGCTCTTTGTCTGGTCCCTCACCTAGGACCTGTTTGCCATGGGTGACCCTACCAGAGGCATAAAACCTCAGACAACTTAGCTCCTTGGATCATTGGGACACTCAAACCCCTCCCCCATGGTAAGGTGGCAGCCCAGGGAGAAAGATGGTTTTTATTTATTTTTATTTAACCCTTATCTAAGCAGTGAAATCCTTTGAGATCGAGTCTCTTTTGCGAAAGTGACCAAGAAGGCCGTCATAACGGTTTCACATAAAACACAGATGTTGGTGATGTTATAAGTCCTGCCATAGAACAAGTTCGCCAGAACATATATTTACATTTTAACATGTTGTGGTGCCATTTTTTGGATAATTTCAACCTGCTGTACATCAATACAACCCTTACATTCTAAATTTTAATTATATAAATGTAAAATGTTCTAAAAATGCAATTATCCATACAGAAATAGAAAATCATGTTTTGTTTTTACATATTTTTCATTATACTGAGATGCCACACCGTTATCCCTCAGGATTGTCGATGAAAAAAGCTGCACACAATCCTTTCAAACAACAACACATTTATTTGAAGTGCTTCCATGAATTAGTTTCTGAGATACACTCATTTATGTAAACTGTAACAAAAACAAAACAAATAATAATCAGCAGGAGTCTGACATATTAATGTTGGATATTTGTAGCTAATAGTTTTCCTTTTGTCTCACTAATAATAACAACTGTAAGGTTTTGGGTTCAGACAGAACTTTTGCCTTGTCATTGACTCAGGATGCTACCAGCTGTTGTCACCAGAAGAAAAGAGAGAGTCCAGGATTTAGCAGAGCTCTGACTTTTTTATCGTTTTGGTTGCAAACATTCCATGACAGTGGAGCATGGATTCCCCTTCACAAACAACCAACCATCTAGAGACAAACCAGGCTGACTTTT